GGGCCTGGTCATTGGCAGAATACACTCCCACTTAATTTTGTGACATCTGCAAATTTACTGAGGGTGCATTCGATCCCCTCATCCTGTCATTGATAAAGATATCTAACAAGACTGGTCCGAAAACTGAGCCCTGAGGGACACCGCTCGTGACTGGATGCCAACTGGATTTGACTCCATTCACCACAACTCTCTGGGCTCGGTCATCCAGCCAGTTTTTAACCCACCCAACAGTCCACCTGTCTAGGCCGTGAGCTGCCAGCTTCTCCAGCAGGATACTGTGGGACATGGTGTCAAATGCCTTACTGCAATTCAGGTAGACAACACCCACTGCTTTTCCCTCATCCACTAGATGGGTCACCTGATCATAGAAGGAGATCAGGTTGGTCAAACAGGACTTGTCCTTCATGAACCTGTGTTGGCTGGATCTGATCCCCCTGTTGTCCTGCACTTGCTGCATGATCTCCCCCAAGATGAACCATTCCATAATCCTCCCCAGCACTGAGGTCAGACTGACAGGCTTGTAGTTCCCCAGATCCTCCTTCTGCCCTTCTTGTAGATGGGCGTCACATTGGCAAGTCTCCAGTCACCCGGGTCCTCTCCTGTTAACCAGGACTGCTGGTAAATGATGGAGAGAGGCCTGGCAAGTTCCTTTGCCAGTTCCTTCAGCACTCTCCAGTGGATCTCATCCGGCCCCATAGTCTTGTGGGTGTCCAACTGGCATAGCAGGTCCTTCACTGCTATTTCCTGGATTATGAGGGGATCATTCTGTTCTCCATTCCTTCCTTCCAGCTCAGGGGACTGAATACCATGAGGGTAACTGGAATGATATTGAAGACTGAGGCAAAGAAAGCGTTCAGTACCTCAGCCTTTTCCTCAACCTTAGTAACAACGTTCCCCCTCGCATTCAATAAAGGATGGAGATTCTCCCTGGCCCTTTTTTTGTTGTTAATATATTTGTAAAAACACTTCTTATTATCCTTTGCAGCAATGGCCAGGCTGAGTTCCAGCTGAGCTTTTGCCCCCCTAATGTTTTTTCTACATGACCTAACTAAATCCCCATATTCTTCCTGAGTCGCCTGCCCCTTCTCCCAAAGGTTGTAGACTTTCCTCTTCCTCCTAAGTTCTAGCAAAAGCTCCCCGTTCAGCCACAGCGGTCATTTTCCTCACAGCTTGTCTTATGACACATGAGGACAGCCTGCTCCTGTGCCCCTAAGAGTACCTTCTTAAAAGAAGTCCAGCCTTCCTGGACCCCTTTGCCCTCTAGGATTGTGCCCCAAGGGACTTCCTCAACCACCGTTTGAAACAGGGTGAAGTCCGCCCTTTGGAAGTCCATGGTAACATATTTGCTGCCCCCACTCCTTACCTGGCCAAATACTGCGAACATTTCATGACCACTGAGCCAAAGACAGCCTCTGACCACCACATCACCTACCAGTCCTTCCCTGTTTGTAAACAAGTCCAGCAAGGCACCTCCACTGGTGGGTTCCCTCACCAGCTGAGTCAAGAAGTCATCTTCCACACACTCCAGGAACCTCCTGGACTGTTTCCTCTCTACTGTGTTATATTTACAGCAGATGTCAGGACAAGAACAAGGGCTTGTGATTTTGCAGCATCTGCCGGTTGTCTATAGAACAATTCATCAACTTCTTCATCCTGGTTGGGTGGTCTGTAATAGACTCCCAACAGGATATCCGCTTTGTTGGCCTGCCTCAACTTTACCCATAAACACTCAATTGGTCCATCACACTTGTTGAGCTCCATGCAATCAAAACACTCCCTAATATACAGAGCCACCCCACCGCCCTTTCTGTCTTGCCAGTTCCTTCTGTGGAGCTTATAGCCATTCATCACAGCACTCGAGCCATGAGAGTCATCCCACCACGTTTCTGTGATGGCAACTACATCACAGCTGTCACGCAGCACGATGGCTTCTAGCGCCTCCTGTTTGTTGCCCATACTGTGTGCATTAGTGTAGAAGCACTTAAGCCAGGCTAATAACTTCATTCCCAGTCATGGCTTGCCACCCTTAGGCTCAACTCTAGCAGGCCTAGTTATACTCCCCTCCTCCTTCGAACCTCATTTAAAGCCCTTTTAATGAGCCCAGCCAGCCCGTACGCAACAATTCTTTTCCCCTTTTGAGAAAGATGAACTCCATCTATTGCACACAGACCCCAGGCAGCATATAGCTCCCTATGTTTGTAAAACCCAAAGTTATGTCAGGGACACCAGCCTCTCAGCCACATGTTAATTAGATGGGTCTTCCTTCCTCCTTCACTATTCTCCCCTGGCACTGAAGGGACTGATACTTCTTCCCATGCTGTCAATCGCTGCTATCCTGTCACTAGAATCCCTGACAGCAAGAAAGTATTCACATATAAATGATAGCTCAAACATTTTACCAAAACCACCCCTGCCATATAACTTACCTACATCAGACAGCTATTTTTTAATCTAAGAAATCTGTGTCCAGCTCATTGAAAATTCCCCCCCCCCCCCACCCCAATTCAGGTTTGTGACCATTAGAAAAAGATTAAAACATCATAAATTTACTGGTGCAGGTGTTTCAGTCCTACCACTTCCCATAGCTTCCCCCCTCGTTTTTATACATGGCAAAGTGGATCCAGAGTGAAAAATGAACAGCACTGACCAGGGTCACCCATGTGAATTGGTGCTCCATGGGCTTCTTTTAATTCAGATGTTGCCAGCACAGCTGCTTCCAACTTGCTTTCAGGAATAGGTCTCATTGTGACTACTAAGTTGCAGCAAAAAGCAGAAACACTGTAACAAGGCACAGCTGTCTGGCAATTAAAAAAAATCCAAGGTGTTAGCAGGAATACTGAAAAATACTTCTAAAGTACTAGAAGAAATAAGGCTAAAACTTTGTGTTGTCTTAGTTTAGAATACTAACATTCATTTTAAAACCTTAAAAAGAACCCAAACAAACAAAAATCACAACTTTTTTTTTTTTTGTAAGATCCAGCAGTGTAGGAGTGAAACATTCCACCCTTGAGCTTCTTCAGATAGATCACTAAAGTTTTTAACATTATGCATTTCTTGCATGGCACATGCAGCATACCACGTGTTGAGCTCAGTATATTCTGAATATTGTCAGAAAACAATGGTGTGCTCCCTATACAGAAAAGGAAAAAGCTAATAATTATCACACAGTGATAAATCTGCTTGGTCTGAATCCACTTTCCATATTTTAATTCAGGGGGGCTACAGTGCTCGGTGACAGGCAAGGACCAGGAAATCCTGCTGCTGGCAGTACTCACTTCTACAGAAGTAACATGCCAGTTCCACACACACAAAATCTTTTGCGCCTTTAGAAAGGTTTTATGGAATTAAACTTCCTTAGTGACTGGAATGGTGAAGCAACTTCTCTATTCAGAAACAAAGCAGTCTGGATTTTTAAAACAAAATGTCTGATATTTAAGTTGTATTGAACACAGACAAGATGTGTAGACAGCCAGAGCTGTATAGAAAATGTTCATTAACAATCTTTATAGAGAAACCATACCTGTCACTGAAGAAACACACTGTACAGATCTTCACAGTATTGATATGCTATAAACTATGAAATTTTCCTAATTCTGAAATGTTATAAGCAGATATCTAGCTGTATTTTTTTCTTTAGGCTTGGTAAAATGACTCACATATAAGACACATTTGCGTCTTCATTTTGACCAGCAGTATAGCAAAAAGATATATTGTGAAATAACACTGAAAACAACAATAACCTTTGTCTAGTACAACAGCATCCAAACTAAATGAAAAAGGTGTGCAGGTGTGTACTTTAATATTAAGAATCCTTAAGGGTCTACCTACCGTAGCCAGAATTACTCTAGGACTTCTGCTGACATGAAATTCTACACTATAAACTTGCTGAGCACAGCTGTAATTTTCAGTGCTATGGTAGACACCTCAGGTCTTTGGGAACATCTTTTGTCCCAGAGGTCTGGCTTCACAGCAAACAAGTAGTTTAAAGGCTTTACTGTCACAGGACAAGGGCTCATAAAAGGAATATTCCTGC